CGAAAATCTTTCGGTTTTAACTGTAAAGTCGTTTCATTCTTATTCTTGAATATGTATTTCTTCATGAACAAGTGTTCTGATATTGTCTATTCAATATTATCTTTTGACTTGACATAGGTGAATATTCGTATCCCTTCAACAAGTCGACATATTTATGTGAAATAAAACAACAAAAAGGTTGCCTAAAATATTTTCTCTTTTTTTTTCAACTTGTCTAACCTTTCGATATTTGACTTATCCGAACAGATACTGTGAAAGTTTCATGTTAGTTTCTTTGGTCTATTGATTTATTATAGTTTCATAACATATGAAATATTGTCCTATGCACCAAATTGATATAGAATATCGATCAATATGTAATTTAGAATAAAAATCAATACCACTTGGGGATGAATGAAAATATTTACCAATTGCAAATATTCTTTTTAAACAAAGTTCTTCTTTTCTCAAACAATTGGGAATATTTCGCATTTTCTAAACAATGAAATACACGTCTAGATTAAGATTAACATGATGTGCATTGAATAAAATCATGGCATATCTTTTCGGAAACATTTTCGTAGAATACTTGAAATGAAGAATTTTCAAGAAAAACTTGATATTTTTTATACAGAAACTGTTCGATTGATCTACTTAATTATGGCTCACACACTTATCTCGAAACCAAATAAGTTTTATTTAAAGCAACAATCATGACAATATATTGGCAATAAAGATCAGCAGAATAAAGGAGAGAACGATAACAATTCTTAATATCCACAACAGGAATGGTAGAAACTTTGTGTTCCCGAGAACAACGATTACCACAACCAGAATATTGGCAAATACAATGTTTTTGTGTAGGACGCAAATATGATTCCCTTATCATAGCTTGATCTGAATTTAGACATTCAAACATTTAGAATAAGTAAAGTATTGGTTGATTTATTTATACTAACTGAGATCTAAAAATAAATGATGAAAGTATTATTTGAAATCGCAACATTGAAACTGAAAATTTTTTAGTAAGCAAAATGATTTTATTTTGGGTGTGTGTTTAGATTTCTTGGCTTCTACATACGTGGTCAACTTAAGTTATGTCGAAGATGGGCATAGACGGATCATTTTAGTACTCAATGTGTGCTATTTTTTATTCTTATTAGGAAGTAAATAGTACTGACTAATGTTCTATCGTTTTTGGTTTTCAAAACCAAACGAGGAAATGTAAAAACTTGAATGTGAGAAGAATATAGATTTCTATCATAGACTGCATATAATTCTATTCGAAAGTAGAATAATTTAATTTCATTATTGGGATCGACTATCACTACAAAACCTTTGATCAAATATATTAGCAATAAAAAAATTATTACTAATTTTATACAAGGCACTCTCTTCACAACATTGACTTTAACTAGTTCAAAAAAAAAACAAATGATGTTGATTTCGCATCAACATATGCAATGAAAACTTTATACGAAATATTTAAGTAGTTGCAAAAGAGTCTTCAATCGAGAATCATCTAAAGAAAAATAACCGTTACATTTTATTATTTGTATGATGCAACTTAGAGTAAATTGAGAGAACTGACAGATCAATTATAGTGATGAACAAGACTGACGTTATAGCCTAAATTTAAGTAAGTTTTTTTGTCATTTGGAAAAACTATATTCACCTATGAAATATGTCGTTATCTGCTAGCATCATCGATTTTTACTAACGTAAGTAAATGATTGTGACTACATAGTTTTTATCTCAAGAAAGGTTTTATTCGACTTGAATTTTTAGCTCACTTTGAATGCATCAACTATCATTGCCTAATGATCATGAAATTGATTTCTCATGCATACTTACTCGTGAATTTGAGTTTAAATTAAAGTACACGTGCAATACAGTGTTGTTACAGGACAGCGAATGCAAAAACAAAATACATGTGTTGACAATAACAGTTTTCAGAAGATTACATGCTGTATTTTTCGTTCTATGAGTCCTCCGTGTAGAAATGAAAAATAAATGTAAATAGAAGTTTTGTGTAATGTTTGACGAGAGAAAGAAATACAGTGAGAATATTTTTTTGTCCAGTCTCGATGTTGAAGATAAACTCAAATAATTTCATTGTGAAAGATTTAATAATAAAAATATATAAATAGATCTACGTAGCTTTTTTAATCATTGTAAACAAGGCTTTAGATATTAAAACCATAAGGGTGGGTGTGGATGTGAGTATAGGTGCTAGTGAAGAGAAGCTTAATACCCACACCCTCTTGGGGTGTGCGTGTGGCTAGCGAAAAGATTAGAACTCACAGTCACAGTCACACCCACCCACACCTACACTCACACCCACACTTCTCATGGCAAAGGTCCAGTCGATGGGATTGGAGCAGCCGTAAAATCTTGAGCAACACGTTTTCTTTTAAGTGGTTCAGCTGAAAGAGCATTTCTTTCACCAGATGATCTTTTTAAATATACTAAAGAAGTTAATGATCATCAAGTAATGAAATATGATCTTGAACCCAATCGATCAATCGAAGCGTTTTACATCAAAACATCTGATATTGATAATACTTCCAAAAAAACTTTAGAGCCACAACGGTTACAAATATCGAAAAAATTATGGATTGATGGTATTCAAAGTAAACATCAATTTAGTCCACTTGGCATCGGTAAAATTACATGCCGCCGCATATCTAACTCTGCAGATTTTGAAACTTTTCAATTATTTTAAATATCTATTTTTCTTCGTTACTAAATAAGATAATAATGAAATATTAAAATCGTATAAAAAACTGTACTTACCCTAAGAAAAAAAAGAAATAACGATCTAGTTTATGCTAACAGTTGTTTCCTTCGAGAGAAATGATAGCGATAAACAGTACTATTACTTCATCTAGTTGACACATTTAATTGAAAAATTGTGCTTCTCAGCACGATCCCATATTTTCTTGGTGATTCAACATACGTATTCAGAGAAAAACTGTTTTCTTAAAAAAAAATTATTGTTGTTAATATTTATATTTACACTAAGATGTTTCTGCATGTATTCGACTCGAAATAGTATCTAACACGTAATCTCGGGAGCTTTGTGGAAGAAAGTTTTCTCTCTACAGAAAAAATAAACTTTGTACCTCAATTTGAATTACTAGTTTTGTATAATTAAGTATCAAATATAGGATTATCATTGATCACATCCTCAAATATAGTTAAGAAAAAAAACGTAAAATATTAAAATATCAATAAACTACACTTAGGTGACTATCCAGGTGCTTATTTATGACGCCTCTAAAATTTTACCGTATTCACATAATCTATATTTTAGTATTACATATTCTATAAGATTTAAGATCAAAATAGTTAATTTACGATTCGGCGCATGTTGAGTAACCATAGTAATTGATTTATAATATATATATCCAAAAGCAGTCATATCTGTTTTATGTATAACTTTATTAAATAAAACGAACTTTAATACTAAGTTATCTTAATATTGAAAGACTATTTAATGATGTTTATTTTAAACAATCCTTCTTGAACATTAAATATCGCTAAACGTTTTCAATAGAAGTCTAAAAAGATCGTTAAATAAAATAAAAAGTGTAAAAATTGAAAAAATATTATGATATACAAAATACGATATATGATGATATGGATCTCTCATCATTAATAAATTGTAAGATATTCTCATATTCATTCAGAGTTATATTGAGTTATACTTTAAATATTGTTTCAAATTAACATAAATTTATAGGAAAAGTGTATAAATGTTTGAAATGAGAATACCAAAAAAACGTTTAAGAATAATAAAACGTATATTTAGTGCTAGAATTTGATATATTTTTCTTTTTAAATGTAGAAAAAATGGCACTAGTTAATTTTTCTTTGTTTCGCATTTTGTCAAATCAAAAATGCGACGATCGGAGTCTAGTACATCTTATAGAACAATCGATCCTCTACAAAACTATGTATATGGCTATGCTCTATAATTCCATTTTTTCTATTAAGTTTTTAGTTCAAGAGTACATACTTTAGTATAGACAGTGTGTCGCATACATGAAAGGACAATATTACCAAGGTATTGACAAAACCCTAACATTTTGTAGTCAAAATGTAGCCCAGATCAGGAGCAATCAGAATATGTATAATACATATATATTGTAAAGACTTTAAATGTTTATTTTGAACAGGTTAAAAGAATGTTATAAAACATCATTTTTGACAAAAATCCGAATTTTTATGATTTTACTAAAAATCATAGGAATATCATAGTCGATATGTTCTTGTTTATTAATGAAATTTAGAAAACTGGTATTGCCGATTTTCATAGCTCACTATGAACTACAAGTCCTGAAAGTTTCATTGAATTTGAAGATACTTGTGTATTTTGTAGGAGAGATTCCATGGAATACCCCAGAGGTATAGAGACCCGTGGCATCTTCCCATTCTTATGAGTCATACTGTCGTTCTGTGAGAAACATAAGTAATTCCCCATACAAACTATGCAACTATTTTCTAGTTCTTTCTCTGTCATTATTTCATATCAATATTGGGAAAAATCTCTTCTGTTGTGTTTCATACCACTCTTTGTGCGCAGAAAATATCTTTTATGGGAAAGATTTTCTGTATAAATACGGCAAGAGACCCCATTGGTTTCATTCATTTATTCAAGGTCATTGTTGACGATTTCCAGTAAGTAGCTCCGGGTAGGATAAAAATGATGATATTGTTTTATTATATATCTTATTTCGATAGTTGTCATTCAACAAAAAAGAATCAGACATCGAAAGTCACACGATTTCGTAGATCATATATAGAAATAATTTCGAATCATCGAATTTTTAGAAAGCAGTTCTAAAACAATCGCTCTGTGTACCATAATCGTGAAACAGAAGTTGTTGGCACACTCTTTCTCATGAAGATAGGAGTATCTGAACGAAAAATGTACATATTAATCGAATCGATCGTATCGATTGAGCAATAATTTGCTCTAATCTGTCACCCCTTACACGCAAAAGCTCGTAAACAATGTGAAGTGTCTGATTTTATAGCATCTATTTTGGTTTTCAATGATTTTCATCAGAAGTATAGTTCCTAAACGGAAATTGTTATTTTTACTGCGAAGAAAATTGTAAACTTTCGAAACATCTAGAAAACTTATAGTTTCCCAGCAGTATTTGCCAGAGATGAGTGGGGTGCGATGCATATTTCAAGTTGTGATTCTGATCTAGGTTTTATGTAAGTTCTCTGCGTATAGAACCCTACAATAAGAATATTATTATCAGTGCAATGACCTCCCAATTACATCGAGATACCTTGAAATAAAGTTTTAAAAGTTAGATAATGTGTCAGAATTATGTTGGCAATAAACAATGGGTGTTGAAATAGTTTTAAATGTAGATGCTGATAATGAATAAACAATAGTAAAAACAGTTTTTTGTCAAAAATACAATTTGCATTTTTGACGTTTAAATTTTGCAAAGGTAAGTATTTTTGAGTGTGGGTGTGAGTAAAGAGAGAAATGACACCCACACCCACACCCTTTTTGTTTTAGTTAATTACTGAGTTTGTTTGAAAAAAATTGAGACTATAGAACTTTGAGTTTAAAAAGCCTCACTTCTCTAACCCTCGCGTCGCCACTGGTTCTAGTTAGTACTTTAACTAGCATAAATAGTACAATGCTTCTTTACTTTTTATTTAAATTTGACCATTTTTAATGTTGGATAACTGTTATACAAATGAAAAAATATAACAATCTCTCTATTTAAGATATTTGTTTAGAAAATTAACATGTTGAAAAATTTAAAGACACAAAGTTTATTTTTTGTTTTAATTTTAAATCTACTGTTTTTGCAAACAACCGCAAGAACAATAGAAATACTGGCAAGTATTGGTTGTACCACTACCTGGTCGCCAAATTTTAGAGTTGATAGTAGTCATGCCGGCCGTGCGTATTTGCATAAATACAATGATGGCAATCATCAAAGATGGGAATTAATTCGTGGCGATGGCTTCTATTGGTTAAAAAACGTTGCAACAGGTCGTCAGCTTGATAGTGATCATAACGGCAACGTTTATACCCTTCCACCTAATGACAGCAATCATCAAAAATGGAAAATGCATCATCATAAGTTAAATTACTATTGGTTTCAAAACGTGGCAACAGGCCGTCAACTGGATTGTCACAAGTATAAACTGTATACCTGGTCACCGAACGATGATGATTCTCAAAGATGGTGGGTTATTAATGCGTAAAATCTAAAATAGGACATTTTTAATTGTAACAAATTACCGTTTAAATTTTGACTCAAATACGGATTCTTTGATTGAATTCTTTATTGTCTCTCTCTTTATTGACAGAATAAATAAAAAGAACACAAATCACAAGTAAAAATAATTGATAAAATAATAATTAATTAATATTAAATAAAATATTAATACTTTTTTTTTAACATTTATTTGTTTATTGTCTCTATATACTGAAATTGACAATGTATGATAAAAATAACACAAACGAAATAAGAACGATATGGAAATGATAATGAAAAGAAGTAGAAAGGGAAGTAGAACGGAAAGAAACGATTAAAAAAATAAAGAAAAGTAAGAGATCATATTATCATATGTTATTTAACGATATCTTATGTTGTATAGAGAAGTCAATAGAACCGTAAAAGAGAATAGAGAAAATACAATCAGTTGATAATGGTGTCAAGAAAAAAAAAAGATTATCGAGTAGTATATAATTTTTAAATATTGAAACACACAACATCTTATTACGATCAAGTCAACATACATGTTTAAGGTGTTATTAAAATATATTTATATATGAAGAAATAAGTTGGAAAAGAAGCATGTTTATAGTTACCCATATTGCTGATAGTGGCTATTCAAAAATTCAGTTAGATCAATTTTCGAATGTTTTGCTCTTAGAGATAGACGATTACGAAATTTATTATTTCTACGCATACTCATACTAAGGTACCAATGCTTTTCAGGTGCTTTTGCAGTGAAAATGGCATTAAAAGTTAACTGATATTGGTGAGCTTCTGTAGAGTTATCAAGATGTTTATTGAATTTGAACCAATATTTATATAGGTAGTCATTGACTGTAAATTCTTTAGTTAATACATAGACTGTTAAATCATCCCATAAGTTTAGATTATAAGTTAAACGCAGTTCTGTGCAGTATATATGTTCAATTAACCTTTGTTGTATTTCTGTATAAAAAAACCAACATGAAAATAGCCAGATTATGTGTGGTGGAGCATAGACAAAAAAAACAATTTCCTTCTTAATTTAATTAGAGATATAGGTATTCTTTTAAAAAGGATGCGAAGAGCATGATATATTTTTCTAATTTTCTTTAACCGACTTTCGATGTATAGTTCCCAACCTAGTTTTGTTGTTATATCGACTCCTAGATACTTAAAACCTTTGTATTTTACTTTAGAATATGGTGGAGCAACAACATCATGTACTAACAATGCTTTGGTTTTATTAATGTTAACTGGAAGTAAGTTATCATCAGCATATTTCTCTAGAATTTTCATTGCAATTTCTACTTGTCTTTCGAGTTCAATTATGTTCTTAGAAGACTTATTCTTCAATGTACCTGATATAACAATAGTAAAATCATCAGCAAAAAGATGGCAAATTAGCTTCCTGAAAAATGAGGAAAGAAAATGTGCGTGGAGTCGAAAGAGTGTAGCCGCCAAGGCAGAACCTTGAGGGGTACCAGCAAAAACTTTAATAGAACGTGAAACAGCTTCCCCAGCATGAATTGACATTGTTCTTCCTTTCAACCACAAGAAAATCTAACGCAAAAGAGGTGGCGGAAAATGAAGTTTAACAAGAGTCGAAATTAAAGCAGGATGCCACATCTTATCAAATGCTGACATGAAATCAACAAAGATCACCAGTGCTGGCCTATTGCTTGCTGCTGTTATTAACCTCAGATCTTCAACTAATGACAGTATACGAGTCTGTAATCTTCTTTCAGCTGTAAAACTAGATTGTTCGTCAATGTATATTCCTTTATCGTTACACCATTTAAGTATACGCATGTGAATTATTCTCTCAAAAACTTTTCCAACATTCGACAGGAGTGAGATAGGTTTAAGTTTATTTAATTCAGGGTATAATCCATCTTTCTATAGACATATAACTTTAGTATGTTTGCTTGATTGAAGAACGCTCCCTGTTTGAGCAATTTTGTTAAAAGCTATAGTAAAAATTTCTAGATATTCAGTTGGAAGTTTATGTAATAAAAAAACGGACAATTCTTCAGTATCTGTTGACTTCTTTTCATGTGCTTTTTTCCAATTTTTTTCAACTTCTTGTAATGTAATATTTTCAAGTGAAAAATTTGGTAGTTGAAAAATATTTTCAAAGTTTTTTAAAGCATGTAAATGAGTTAAATTATTTGTGTCAAAAGATGGTTGTTCAAAATGAGTTTCATAATAGTTTGCAAGAGTATCAGCAATCATCTGTTGATCTGTAATGATACCTATAGGAGTTGTAAGACCTTTAAAAGCTAGTGTGTAGGGATGAAAAGTAGGGTGTACATATTTTCAAATATTATTTCCCATCGAGATATAAGAGATTTTATCTTCAATTTTTTTCTGTAAAAAATAGATAGTTTTCTAAATTTTCTTATTTTTTAAATCTTCTATATGCTTTTCGTGCAATAGAGTGTGGGTATTGTTTTCCGCTGTACCTACACCCACACCCTATTCTTGGAGATCATTAATGGCCTATGATTAAGCTGGAAGTTCAGTTTCACATGACGGATCGTACTGAACTTTTTACCAAATGTACTTCTTACTAGGACCATTCAACTTTGAAAATTTCAGTCCAAGTGGCCGATATAAACAAGAGATCAGTCGTGAGAGAAAAGAGAGACTACCAAGCATGTAAAGATAGGAAGCCATAATGATAAAAAAAACTAGTTATGTTATCAATGAATGATCTCAGAAATGATGAATAAAATTTACATGATTTTTGTTTTCCAATAAATCTTGATATATTTAGATGGTAATAAAAAACATTAAGGTTAATGACGTTATATTATTGTTTTTTACCATAAAAGAAACATCTGTGTCATGTTATATAAATTTCGAAGATTAATATGAATGATTCATTAAACTCATGCCGAAGGTACATTAATGACGCTTTTTTTGTGTTGTTGTCAATGTCTTGTATATGTTCTTAAGTCAGATCTAAGCCCACGTGTTGTTCTGCTTTTAATTATGTTATCCTTAGTTGAACATGATTTTTATATGCATAACTAAAGTTGACTTAACAGATGTGAAAACATTTATTTTTTCGATCAATCTTTCTAGAATATTTACAAGAAAAGCAAATATTCTAAGTACACATATTAATTAGCGATAGACCATGTAAAAACAAGACTAAAGTCATTTTTCTTTATACACCGACTTCTTTTTTAATTATTTATGTCCGTAGAAAAAGAAAAAAAGCACGTATGTTCATCATCTACACGTTATTTCTTGATAAGTAGCGAATAGTCTCGGAAGCAGTATATTTTTAGAAAATCTTTTCTAACACTACACAATCACTAAATTATTGCAACATCTTATCACGCAGAAAGACATTCTCCTATTTAAATCAGTTGCAACATCATCTTGTTATTAAACTTTACAAACAATAATGTCGTATCAGTTTCTATCTACATCAGTAGAAAAACCAAAATCACTAGATAATATTAATATAATAACGAGACAAGGAAGGAATACAAGTAAACCAGGTTTTTGTTTAATATGTAATGCTGAAGCACGTATTTTTAATTATGCTGTACTTTCCTGTTATTCATGTAAAACGTTTTTTCGTCGGCATAGCTTTCATCTAAAAGTATATATATTTTTAGTTTTTTTTTTTTTTTTATGAATATTAACTGTGAATAATTGTTTTGTTTCTATTATATAGAATATTCGCCCATGTCAATATGGAGGTGATTGTGAAATAACAGTACAAACACGAAAATATTGTACATCATGTCGATTAGCTAAGTGTTTTGCAAAAGGTATGTCAACAGAACTTATTCGAAAAGAATATCAAAGATCAAAATGTTCTCCATCGATTAAATCAAATAGGAAATCAATGGTATGTATAAGATTATTGGGTATATATCAAGTTTAAAAGTTATTGCTTTTCTTTTACTCTAACAAAATACTTAGAGTAAAATAGAAAAAAAACTAATAGTAGATAATTTATTTTTGATCGTAAGATTAGTTTTAACAACAATAAAATATCTGTAAGTTTTTACTTAAGTTTCTATAGTGAGTATTTGAAATCAGAAAAAAAGTCAAGGAGTGCATAAAACAATAGATTTCTTTCATATTATGATATTAATTTTCACAAATATGATTTTGAATGATGTTTTATACAAAATTTTATATTCAAAAAAATATTTTTATTAATGCACACATCTTACTTTGACAGAATCTGACATATACTTATCTTGACAGTAAAGTACTAAATACACAATTTTTTTTTTTGTATACATAGATTAAAACGCGTTGTAAAAATAAAACAACTGCCAGTGCAATCGTCATTAAATTAAAATAAACAATGTTGTAATCTTTTACAGAAAAAAGATAATGGCATAATATAATATAGAAATAATTTGCAAATCTAGAAGTCTATATTATTGATATTTCAGACGACAATTTTCTTCATAAACTTGATTTTTAAATTTTTTTATCAGAAATAATATCTAGTCATTGTTCGATACCTTTCTATTGACTAGAATGCTTAATGAATGGACATAACTTGAGCAGAAAGACTTATTTATTAAAGTCATTTTTTGAGACGTTTTCTAATCTCATCGGGTCGTAATCATGTGATAATTGAGATAGCTGAAATTTTTCATTTTATAGTAAAACATGTGTTCATAAAAATAATGTTAATCATAAAAATAAAAATTTTTGTATTTAGTCAATTCTACCAATCACTTCATTAAATTTACTAAACAATGACCAATCATATCTTAAGAGTTCTGAATGGAATTTATTATCAAATGTAGTTCATGCTTTTGATAAATTCAATTTGGTTCCATCGATGCGTAATATAGTTAAATCTTTAGATTTCGTTGAACCGCCCATTAAAATTGATATATCCGATACATTTAATCTATTTGCTTCTTTTTATACGTCTGTAAAATCATTCGTTAGTGTCACAGCTGATTTTCGCGTATTGACTGTTGCTGAGCAACGTTCACTTTTTCAACGTAATTTACATGGTCTATTTAATCTTTGTGGTACATTTATGTTGCGTGATGCTGGAATATTTGATAATATTAGAAATGAAAGTATAATTGCACCTTTATATGGACATGAAATTGTTCGTCAAGCAAAACAAATTACTATGAGACTTGATTTTGATTCAACAATTGTTAAAATTATTCATATGGTTTTTGCTTTTTCTACAAATTGTTATACAGTCAATTATGATCCATATATGAGTACAGATGCTCTTCTTACAGGTACTTTTCGTTTACTTGGTAGTCAAAATGTATATACTGAAATGTTATGGAAATATATGGTATATCGATATGGCTATGACGAAACTATTCGCCGTTTTGCGGCACTTATTAAACAAATTCTTGATTTAATTGTACTTTCAGCAGATATTTATATGGATAATCGATATCATCGAATACTTGTTGATGATTTTGTTGAAGAAGCAAAAACTGCACTTATTCTTAATGAAAAAGATTCTGTTCCATTATGGGGAAAAGACAATTACTTTGACTATTGAAAAGAGCAATCATTTTGACAGTGAATAAAAAATAAATGAAAACTTTCTTTCTATCAAAGATTTATTGAAAAGTATAGTTTCAAATCAACTAAAATTTCTTTTAGTTTAATTTTAACAGATTATTAATGTTCGTTTTATATGTTAATTATATTCAAAATATGATATTTATATCAATAGATTATTAATTAGATACTAAACATATGAATATTGGACGTTCCTATTACTCAATTGATAGGAATTTATAAAAAAGTTTCTCAAGTTCAATCAATAGTGAAATCAATTTGGTTACTGATGCATTTTGTCTTAATAGGAATACATAAATGTTTTAATTTTCTGATTGAATAATTCTTATTGCAAAATTTATTTACCTTTGAGAATTCAATCTGATAAATTTAAATAATCTCCGCAAATACATATACAATCAAATTTTCTTTTCTGACAATAATGTGAAGGAACTTACTGTTCGAGTAAAACAAAAAGAAGGATCGAGTAGAAAGACTTCTCTTTTTCAAGAAAAAATGACCTATGGTTTTATTCAATATAAGAGAAAGAAAAGACAGAGTCAGATGGATCATTTTTATTGTTCTGTCTGTTGATTAAAAAGAAATTAAAAAAAAAGAAAGAGTAACCATTGTTGAAGGCACCAAATGAATACATATTTGACCCACCGATGAACAAAAATCAAATAGTGTAAAAGGTATCATTTGTAAAAGATATCCTTTTAAAAGAAGTAGAAATGCATTAATTGAAAAATCGAAAATAATATCTCAAAAATCGAAGGCTACAACTTCGAAAACTTATATCAATAGGTATACGATTAGCTTGCAGAATTGTAGTTGGTGTCTTTAACATAGATATAGACAAGATGGTTCCAGAGATCAGGATCAACACATTTTCATTGGAAGTAATATGTGTTACAATCGTGTAAGACTTACGTAAAAGGTCATATTCTTACGACTCATATATTCTAAAAGTTGATGCGAAAATTATTGAGTACACATAAACCTGCAGAATAGACGAAGTATTAATAGGTTTTAAAAAAAGTAATGAATGTCTCGAAGAGAGGGACATTAGAATTCATGCAGGTTGTGCAAGATGACTCGAGCATATAGACACTACTGGCAAAATAATATCGTATTTGTCGCTAGTACATATATTACCAAGTGCGAAAAAAGAACCAAATATTTTTTCTGACCGAATTCGACAACGATTGGCTACATTCATCACTACTTTAACGTTAATAAGAAGAATAAAGACGATACAAGATGATTCTTGACGTATTTGTGGAATAAATCTTCGACATCATTCCTTTCCTTTCGTTGTAAGATGCATCTATCAAACCTGATACATTGAAAGAACAAAAAAGTAGCCTGCCAGTACTATTAAAGATAGAAGATGTTCATGGTTTGAATGTTCGATTCAATTGTCGATGATCTCACGTATTTAGATTTTTGTTCCGAATAGGATTCTCCGGACGTAACGACTTAATTGCGATAATACCTGTTATTGTGCACATACAGTAATCATCAAAAGTCTTACTACTAGGTAAAAAGTATCTAAATGTGAATTCCTTAATCTCATATTTGATGCGAAGGAACTAGAAGGTTAATATAGGTATTTTATTCAGATGAGGATATAAATGTATTAGCAACAAACCTTATAACGTTCGATCCATCATTAGAGAGCTAAATACCGTCCCTATTACTCAAAAACATTCCATGTCAAATGATGATAGCTTACTTCATTTATGCTGATATCTTTGAATATTTTTAGCATAAGAGTCAACGAGATTTATGAAAAAAGTAGTTTGTTATTTTGTGTATTTTCAATTATTCATCTTGAAATTGTCTGTAGTGAGTTCTCTATTCTAATCACATATTCTCTGAATATTTCATCATTGTCATCATTGGTCGAGCGAAGATCTATGCGGAGACTGTCTCAGATAATGGAAATGTCATTGCACCTTAGAATTACTTCAGATTAGAGTCTCCGATCTGTGACACAGTGAAGACATTTGAAATTCTACTCGTCCATAAAAGCAGGGATATTAACGCTTAAAAATAATGACGAAGCAGAAAATGTCAAAAAAACTTTTTTTTTTATGGTGTCTAGTGAAAAAAGAATAGTTTTTTTTATTCTAAATTCGATGCATTAAGGTTGATCGAACTCGCGTTGGTGCTGGTGATTAGGTTTTACTGAGTTCTATTTGCCGTAAATATATTTAGGGAAAACGATTCGAACCTAGGTATTTTTCACTTAAACGCGAAACTATTGGTAACTACTATAGTGTACGAGACTACATCTATTCGATCAGAAGATTCTTGGTATTTTATAGACATATATTGATTTGTTTACATCACAATTTTCAGCATTTCTTGATGTGATCGATGATTTCTCATGATATGAAATATTTCTTATATCGTAGTCAAGCATAGGTAACATTGATAATACGAGAGATCATTTCTGTTACCTTTGGCTAAGAATAAGATGCTTTTATTATTGCAGCTTATTTTTTCTAGTCTATTTGTTCTTTGAGCTTTCGAACAACGATCTGATTATATGATAATGCTAGTCTAAATTGTGTAAGGCTTAATTTAAGAGAAGTTCGACCATGCAAGATAAAATCGAGACTTACTTATCGGACAGACAACTCTATACCCAAGCGTGCGTTGTGTCTCTTCTTATCTTAGCAACAGAATTCAGACTATGGTAACTCTAAAATGAGTCTCTTTTTTAATAATAGAAACAACAACAAGAGAAAGAAAAATCACAGTATTGTTGCTTCGTGTTCATATTTAATACTGTTCAGATTCTTTAAGTTATATAAAATACTGAGTATCAGAGCTAGAACCCGTAGGATCCAAGAATTTCTGGACACGGACCCGAACGCGATGGATCGAAATTTTTTGGGTACGAGTGTAAGGTGGGTGCGTGGTGATAGAGAAGATTGTGTAGTCTCTCAGACTACCTCCACATCCTTCCATTTATGCACTATTATCATTCTTTCTACCAGAATCATTTTTCTTAATTTATTTTAGTTCTCCGTTCAAAAACAAAAAAAAGTGTTATATATGTGTACTGCTGATCGTGAAAGGATTAACTTTATTATAATCTGAAATCCTATAAAAACTTAGTACAGTCTGTAGTATTCAATAGGATCGCATAGTGCTGAGCGATCTGCTTTAATTCTATTAGAAGTTGTGTGGTCTTTTGAGATATTCATTACTTGTATGCAATAAGTGCTAAATAAGACTACCAAGTGATGTTCTTCTGATCTACTTTTAACTAATCAATATTTCTTTATGTTGCCAGTTTTTCGACCTTTTTTTATTACGTGTAAGTTTACTTGCATGCTGTTCATAAGCACTTTTATAATGAAAACAGATATCGCTGAGTATTATGGAGTGCATCAAGTATTGATAGCAATAAGGGTTTTTATGCAGATTAATGAGAGGAATTTGAATTAGGCCAAAGTTTGAAATTTTTATCTGACGTGATTCGTTCATATAATATTCGGCCTGGTTAACAAGCCAGACGAAAGTAATTGGCCTAGCTCTTACTTTTTGGGAATCAAATGTTGATTTATCGCCTTACTACTCGATAGAGGTGGATGTAGGTGTGGGTGTGAGTGTGGGATATGGATGTGGATGTTCTTTCCACCAATACCCACACCCAAATCTACACCCACATCCATTCTAGTTTAAAAAAAATCTATACTCTATGAAATTGAGTGAGACACTAGTATTGACTCAGCAAATCTTCATGTTTTAGGCAATAGTTAATAACATTAATTCGAATTGGTGCATCAGTGTCAATGGATACATAAAATTTTGATGAAACACTACTGCAAAAAAAAGCCAGAAATTGTTAATATTTGTATGGCTTTTAATTAGTTCATCGAAAATACTTGAATCGAAAACGATAGCACGCTTCATTGCTTACAACACTGAATTTTATGACTGTTCTATGAAAAATCGAAAATCTGTAATTGAATACAGTGTGTTCAATACGTGTCTCGAGATAAAATCTAGTAGTTTGAATTAGAGTGAAACTCTCTCACACTATTTTATATAACAAGTTACCAACTGAGAGGCTATTCTGAAATCTCTTGATTTATGCAGTTCATGTTTCTTTAATCGAAAGAAACATTATTGATTGAATCGATTCAAATGAATCGATTCAAATAAATTGATAAAGATAGATCGTAAGAACTACATTTGTGATCGATGTAGCGAGAATAACAAAAACACACTAATGAAATGTTTCAAAATAAAGATTAATCAATGCATTTAGTTGGTTGGATATTGAAACTTGTAGAATTATTATGCATTACGGATGAAGTTACAAAAAAGATCAGTACTCACACCGACACCTACAGATCCGCGACAACTCGTCCATCCAATAAATTGTCTGGCCGTGTTCCTCAGCTACCGATGTTTATTACATATTGGTAGGAATATAAACTCATTGCCAAAAAAAAAAACAATCATATTTCTTTCTAAAAATTATTTTATTGAATGAAGGAAGGTCTACTTTTTGTAGTTATGCTAAAAAAAATGTCTATCATATCCTCTAAATAATTCAGTTTCAATCTTTATGTTGCTTGTTAACACTGGCAGGAACATGAGTTGTTCTACTTAATTTACTAAAAAACCAATCAACACACCAAGCGGGTAATGTAGAAAGTGGAAAAAAAACCAGACTCGATTGCCAACCAGGTCGATAACGAATATGAGGAAATGTATTCGTAACAGCATGTTGAAGAGCTCGTACAACTTTCATAGGATCTTCGGCATGATTCAAGAATAAGCTGGCTCTTGAGGCAGCAAGCCTTGCTTTAACGAAATCTTCTCCCCATCGGTCTTGAACATCTCTAGGAAGTTGATTCCAAAACTCTGAAAATGACTTATTAACTTCTTCAAGGATAGATGTTCGCATAAATCCTGGTTCAATAATACTGACACGTAAACCCCATGGAACCATTTCACGACGAAGACAATCCGAAAATGATTCAAGAGCATATTTTGATGCACAATAAGCTGATACACTTGCTGGAGCGAGATAACCAGCTATAGAACAAATATTAATAACACGTGCGTCACGTTTGGCGATAAGTAAAGGTAAAAATTTCTTTGTCATCGCAACATGTCCAAAGTAATTCACATCCATTACTTTACGCATAACTTCTATTGACATCCAATCAATATAACCACTAACAGAGATACCAGCATTATTAACAAGTCCATGTAAAACTTTTGTTTTTTCTTTGACTAATTGAAATGCATCATCAATGTCTTCTTGTTTAGTAATATCGAGATGAAACACTGTAGCTTTTGATGAAAGTTTATTTTTGAGTGAAGTAATGTTGTCAGGAACGAAAACACCAGCAAGAACATTAAAACCTTGTTTATCAAGTTCAATAGCTAAACTATGACCAAATCCAGTATCACAACCACTAATAAGAACATATTTTCCGTCAGGATTGATGCTTGGTGTCGGAAAAAAGTGTTGATATAAACGATAGAAGATATAAATGATGATTATGAAACCAACAAGCAGACACATCATGATACTGCAAAAACAAATGAAAGAAAGAAAGCACAACTATTGTTCTTATTATACTCTTTCTAATGTTTTGCGTTATTGACACAAGAATGACATCCTCCAATCGCGAGCACTGTTTAGACGAACACAAAGCATATTTTGTTCTGACTAATCGTGGTAATTTTTATCTTTTCTTTCTTCATATTTTGTTCTTTTTTCTGATATACGATGTGGGTCACAGAAATAGCATTACATATCAAAATATATTTTGATATTTGATCGTACTTTATACGTTTCAAAGTTCGAAGCGGATATGGGTGTGCCCCAGTTCGAGCATTACGGTGACCAGAAACGGCCGTATACTACCGTATACGGCGGATTTACGGTCGTAAACGGCCGTAAATCCGCCATATTTTCCGGGACCGTATTCCGACCGTATTTCGCCGTGTCGTATACGGCATAATACGGCGGTCGTGTACGGCCGTATTCATAACTGGACACGGCCCCAAGGACGATTGATAAGGCCGTATACGCTACCTTCACGGCCGTAACAATGCCGTACACGGCCGTATAAGACCGTAAATCGCCGTATACAGTGCCCAGAACGAGCATTACAGCGACCAGGAACAGCCGTATACGGCCGTTTGCGGCGGCGTAAACGGCCGTAAATCCGCCGTATTTCCATGTACCGTATTACGACCGTATTTCGCCGTGTTGTATACGGCGATCGTGTACGGCCGTATTCACCGTTCTGAGACTTATTGAGACTTTTTGAGACTTTTTGAGACTTATAGAGACTTTTGAGGGCCCAGAGAAAAAGACGTTTCGAAAATTTTTTGAGAGGTTTTTAGCCCGAAGAGAACTCCTTATAATAGTGTGAAACAGTTGAAAAAGACTCGACGGGAAGCAGTCTGGCACCTTGCGAGACTTCTTTGGAGTTCTTCTGAAGATTGCGAATAGGTACGAAACATTCTGTTTGAGTGCTGTGAAAACTTTTCTTGTGAGATTTGCTAGCGCGCAAAAGCTTGAAAAAAGGTCGTTTTCTAGGTTCCGCAGACTTTTTCCAAGAACTTTCTGCGTGGTGGAAAACTATGAAAGCAGATGTGAAAAGACCATTAATGATTTTTTCATTCAAAGGCAGGATTGTATTCTAGTGAATGCTTGGGTTTGGGGATATTCTCTAATGGAACGCTTTGCGTTAAAAACAAAACGCTCACGCATTGCGGTTTCCTTTTAAATCGGTCGTATGCTAGAACACTTCTTTAAATATATACGAAAATGAGGCAGGATCCTTACTCAGAGACCATATAGGAACCTCATCAGAAAAGCTATCCAAACGACTACACTTCAATAACCGGAATCGGTTACTCATCGTTCTTGTTCGTGGTTCTTTGTACACCTCAACAGCACATACCTCGGCGTGCGTGTCTGTATAAAAACAGAAGCGGGACTCAAAAAGACGGAAAAACACTCTTTCTTCATCAAATCATCCGCTAAACGTTTGATTGTTCATACTTTTTGCTACGACATCATTCTCAACTGAAACGACTACCAGCACGTGATGCAGCCATTTATATAGTAGGGCGTCAGACTCGAACAGACTACAAAAAACTCTTTTCTGATCAAATAATGCTCTTAAAAAATCCATTGTTCATACTTGTTACTCATACATAACACTATATGCAAATGACCACTAACCCGTGCTGCAGCTTCTTATATAGTAGCGGTGAGACTCAAAAACGCTAAAAAAAACTCTTTTTTGATCAAATACTACTTCTCAATATCCATTCTTCATACTAGTCACTCATACGTAACTCTCAATTGAAATCACCACGAGCACCTGTTGCAGCCCCTCATATAGTAGGCGTGAGACTTAAAAAGACTCTTTTTTGATCAAATAATACTCCTCAAAAATCTATTGTTCATACTTGTTACTCATAACTGAATCTCAATTGAAATTACCACGAGCACGTGGTGCAGCTTTCTATATAGTTGGGGGTGAGACTAAAAAAGAATCTTTTTTGATCAAATAATACTCCTCACAAAATCCATTCTTCCTACTTGACACTCATACCTAACTCTCAATTGAAATGACCACGATCACGTGTTGCAGCCCTTTATATAGTAGGGGCTGAGACTCAAAAAAGACTCTTTTTTGATCAAATAATACTTCTCACAAAATCCATTCTTCATACTTGTCACTCATACCTAACCCTCAATTGAAATGACCACGAGCTCGTGTTACAGCCCTTTACATAGTAGGGGGTGAGACTAAAAAAGACTCTTTTTTGATCAAATAATACTCCTCAAAAATCTATTGTTCATACTTGTTACTCATAACTGAATCTCAATTAAAATGACCACGAGCACGTGATACAGCCCTTCATATAGTAGGGGGTGAGACTTGAAAAGACTAAAAAAGACTCTTTTTTGATCAAATAATACTCCCAAAAAATCTATGATTGATACTTGTTACTCATACCTGACTCTGAACTCAAATGACCACGACCACGTTGTGCACCCATATATATAGGGTAAGGTGGACCTGAAAAGACTGAAAGGAAGACTTTTTAAAGGCCAAGTAACAGTGCTGTAAAATCGTTTTTTCGCACTTGTTACTGAAGCTTTGTACCCAAGCGGCATGAGGGTTGATAGGCGGTGCCGCCCTATATTTAGAGTACGGTGAGTCTCAAGAAGACCGAAGGGAAGACTTTTGGTAGGTCAAGCAACGGTATTTGAAAATCGATTTTTCTTACTTGTTACTCACAATGTGCACTGAGCTCGAATGAGGGTGAACAGGAGGGGCACCCAGATGTATAGGATAAGGTGAGTCGGAAAAAGACTCAGAAAAGACTATTTTTCGATTAAGGTACACTGCTGGAATTCTCGTGACTCTTTCTCGACTTCGTAGAAACGTAACTTTTGTTAGCTGTCAACTAGTATACGCCATCATGACAGTATGTTATTGATATTCAATAATAGAAATTCGCCGACATTAACGATTGTTTGCGACGAAATACAATAACAAATAGTGGTTCTATATCGAACGAATTACAATAAACATAGACGGTACGTCGCGATATTATGCGATGAGCGTATACAATCGGCATATTGTTACAGAAGTCGTACACGGTTGCTGTTTATGACAATTGTTTACTTCGGCCGCAAAATCATCGTAAAATGTCGTTTACGATCGCCGTAAGGGACTACCGTATACTGCTCACGTACACTGTGTTTTACGACATTTTATAATACCAGCGTATACGGTCGTCGTGTTGTCACGCTAGTCGTTTCCTACGATACTTTACGGTCAATGTTTACAATTGCCGTAGCATGCCGTAAAGCATCAGATACGACCATTGTAAACAGCCACCGCAAACGGCTGACGTATACGACGCCTTACATTGTTTTTCGACCAAAGTATACAGTCACCGTATTGTTACGGTAGTAGTTTACGATGAACTTTTACGGACACTGTGTACGATTGCTGTAATATGCTGTAAATCATCGTTTACGGCTGCTGTATATGACTAACATAGACAGTTGCCGTTTTTCGCCGTATTTGGTTCGTGGATGGCCGTTTTTCGCCGTATTTGGTTAGTGGATGACCGTTTACTGCCGAGCGTGATTGACCTGGGGAATGATGAGAATTGTTTCCATCTAGACAGTAACGATCTAAACTCCTTGTTACATGCCTATTTATCACCTTCTTTGTTTATCTATGATGCTACAAATACTTGTAAAAATTTCGCTTTTCAAAGTACTTATTGTACTAGGCGAGGTGGGGCGGGACAGTGGCGATACGATTGTTCAATAAGTGCAGTGGGGTGACCTGGGTGTGAGAGTGGGTGTGATGGGTGTAGGTGTGGGTGTATTGTTCTTAGTTCAACCTACACCCACCTAAACCACATAAGATTTACTTTGGTCAATAACTTAGCGAAAAAAGTGTACAAGTTCGAATTGAATTTATATCACTTTAATAGCAATGCTAGAAACTATCAACGATCAGAATAATTCGCTGTTTTTTCAGATGAAATATATTTTCATTTATATAATTTATGAATAAATATAAAACAAAAAGCAAAAAGTATCAGATATGTATAAAGGTCTGGTTAAATTCAAAATGAGATCCAATAATGATAAATGAATAAATTCAAAAATAAAATTTCTACAGTATTTTTCAAATTTCAAAAATGATGAATTTAGCTATTCCATTTAATAACAATCATTTTGAGTGTTTGTGTTATAAATTGAATGATTAGAAATCAAACTGTAAAGAACATAGTAGCATTTAATAAAAGAAACAATGAAATCATTTATAGAAATCTGTGTTTTCATCAGCATTGTTGTCTAGTTATGCATTTTTTGTGCAGATCGTCTCATTAAGAATTCTTTTAGTTCATCATGTCCGCTTAATTGTTTTTGTTGTAGCCAGAATATTGAGTTTGTATTACTTAATAAAATCTAACAATAGACTCAAAAAGAGTATTTCAAACTGTCAACAACTAAGAGAAAGATTTTGAGATTCATCAGTTCTTACTACTGAAAGTGTGTTACTTTATTTGTGATTACACCAATTTCTACAATTCTTTGAATTTTCTAAACTAGAATCTGAGTATTTTCAACTTTCAAAATTTACAGACTCGAGACAATTTACCAGATTTTAGTGTTGATGAGTGTCGAATGTTATCCTTAAATCTATTGTTATATTTCACCCGAGGCAGAGCATATATCCTAAAACAAATTGGAACAGATCGAAAAATTTTGAAAATACAATTTTTTCACATTTTTCATAACTCTTGTTTTTCATTCAATCCATCCAGACTACAGTTTCAGATAAAATGCAAAGAATCAGTCATAAAGGATACAAGCAATTAAAAAGAGCTATAGCCTTCATAAGAAAAATTATCATTTTTGACATCATCTTTCACGAATTTGCAAGTAAGAGTGAATAAAGAGAAATTCGCTCAATTCTCATATGTGCATGCGTATCCTTCCTTTTTCTTTGTAGACAATTTATTTAA